ATGTTCCAGATTACTGTGTTGACCGGTTTGCTGCTCCCTCAAGTCGAATTGATGTTCGTTATTAAGCGATCGATCTTCTTCCGCGAACAGTTGAGCAAGATGTACAGCTCATTCACCTTCACCTTGGCTATGGTACTTGCCGAATTGCCTTACTCGATTCTCTGTTCCGTGATCTTCTTCTTTCCCTTATACTACATCCCAGGTTTCCAGACGGAGTCCTCGCGAGCCGGTTACCAGTACTTCATGGTTTTGATCACGGAGCTTTTCTCAATCAGTCTGGCGCAGTGTATCGCTGCTCTATCGCCTTCGCCCTTCGTCGCTAGCCAGTACGATCCCTTCGTTGTTATCACTTTCTCGATGTTCTGTGGCGTTGCAATCCCCGCCCCCCAGATGCCTACTTTTTGGCGATCGTGGCTATATCAGCTGGACCCGTTCACCCGTCTGATCGGTGGTACTGTGACTACTGCTCTGGATGACCTCAAGGTGACCTGCCAACCGTGGGAGCTCAACTCATTTACTGCACCAGAGGGTCAAACCTGTGGCGAGTACATGACTCCTTTCTTAGAGAAGGGCGCTGGGTACATCGTGGACAACGCAACTAGCCTGTGCCAGTACTGTGCTTATAAAGTAGGCAATGAATTCTACGAGCCACTAGGCTTCAAGTTTGAATACCGGTGGAGGGACCTTGGTATCTTCCTGGCTTTCGTGGGCAGCAATATGATTATCTTATTCTGTGCGGTAAGTTTTGGCCTTGACTCCTTGCATTATTTGGGTGTTTTGTACAAGTGCTAATATTACTATATAGGGACGGTTCCTGAACTTTAACCGACGTTGATGTACGACGAATGGAGAGAGACGTGTGAGATGTACGATGCCATTTAGCTCATGTGACTATCAACGAATTTTAGGCTGAGGAAGAGGGCAAGACGAAAGACGAACGACGATGTCGGGTAGACGAAGAATTGGTGTACATTTTACGAGATCGGAGTTGGGAATAGACGAGGAACACTTATATCAAGCATCAGGCGAGATAGCCATTTACATCATACATCATACATCATTATATTCAAGTTCGTTAATATTAGATCAAGCATATAAAGTTATAATTCAAGCACCAGTATGTAGTAGCGCATACTATTATAGATCCAGGTTCCGCGTATGTCCGAAGCATCCTAAGATTTGACCTACTATGTAAGCTTTCTATGTATGAAAGATGATGAAGTTTTGTGAAAAAGGGGGCAAATAAGTTATTAGGTTAGAGATATGAGATTACTGTACAATATTATGTTATCCACTACAATTCGATAAAAAGTAATTTGCAGAAAGAGAGATTTACGTTTTGCTTCATCAACCAACCGATAATTGAATCTTTAGGATTTGCACCAAGTAACACTTAACATGCCCACCTAAGGTATACATCATCCTGGGATATCGTTTAATAACCATGGCAAATAAGGCAAATAAGGCAGATCCCGGAATGCAATACGAGCACTGTATAGCCAATGATGGCTGCACTCTCGCCTTCCAGACCTCGCTACCAGTTCAAGAGAAAGTGGCACTTGAAGGTCGCTACGAGCGGTGCATCCTCTTGATGCATGGGTTCAGCGGCTCGAGCGCATATTTTACGCGTAATTTCGAAGCCCTGAGTCGCGATTACTGGGTCGTCGCCCCGGACATGCGGGGTCACGGAAATTCCAGTCGGCCGCTCGGGGGCTATCATGTAGCCCGTCTAGCTGTCGATCTGCGGGCCTTGGTTACTCATTTGAAGGACTCCTTAACCCTTACTAAGACGGTAAAGATTATCCCCGTTGGATGTTCAATCGGCGCTGCGGTCTTATGGACCTACGTTGAGCTCTTTGGATGCGACGACTTCAGTGGGTTTGTGTTCGTCGATCAGGGGCCATTGCAAGATCGCTCGCCCTTTGGCAACTGGGACGCGTCGAAATCCCACCTGGGTTGTTACGACGAGCAAACCATGCAAGCTGCGCAGCGGGAGTGGATATATGATTCGGCCAATGCGCATTTAGGTCTAGTACAATCTTGCTTGGGATACCGACATGCGCCGGAGCCGACTACTGACGATTTGTCGGATGAACGACGGCGACGCGATGAGGAATTCTTTACGCGCATTAGCGCGCAGTGTGACCAAACTTGGCTAGCGAAGCTGCTAGCCGACCACACGCGCTACGATCACCGTGAAGCTATCGCGGATATCATCTTGCCTACTCTAGTCGTGGCAGGTCGAAGAACAGGTTGTTTCCCTCTCGAAGGCATGAAGGAGACCGTAAGGCAAATCGAGTCGAAACGCCCTGGAACGGCAAAGATATCAGTATTCGACTCTGGCCACTGGCTGTTTTACGAAGAGCCGGAGAGATTCAACAATGAGATCGCCGAGTTCGCACAGATGCATTTTGGGTGAGGTAGATCATAGCAAGAGGTGGAACCAGAACGCATGAAAACCTCGCTGTTCCGCAGTAAACTCTGAACCTGGCTACCTAGGTACCTATGGAAGCCCGTGGCAAAAGATACCGCAAATATTTTCGTTCTAGATGTCTCGTCTAGAATCCTAACAGATCACGGATTATTCAGTTATGTTTTAAGACATAGCATGAAATCTACAATCAACGTAGAAATTCAGGTCAAATGACAAACAACAGCTTCGATATGCAAGTGAGTTGCTGGAATAAGATATGCCTCCCTCTGATAAACAGATATCGAAATATTGAAATAGATAGTAAGTCCAATGAGAGTATCCCATCGAGCCGCTAGGACCCCACTGCTTTCAAGAATGTTGAATAAAATCTCATCTTCTCCACTCATCGTCAACAGAGATTACTTGAAATCAGTTGTATATCAGCTATTAGTATGCCCTATTCCCGGATCGAAGCTTGGGAATCGGCGTTATCATGGCAGGGTTCGCAGATTTGAGTATCGAACTCCAAGAGCTCATATTCGACAAGGTTAGTCTTAAGCCAAGCCCATGTTGTAATTCATCTGCTCAGTAATGATACTTCAATACTTCATAGCTGCGTGAGGTCGATGAGCCATTACTTCTTACACTCAAGAATGCCAGTTTAACCTGCAAGGCATGGCATCAGCTAGCTGCGTCCATTTTGTTTAGGCGGCTTGTCTTTGAAGCCGACACTTTATCAGAACCCTACGAATTAGCTCTAGACCACTTGGAGTTTCTGGACTCCCATGAACACCTACATCAATACATTCGTGAAGTCGTGATTCGCATCGGGTTCCCCGAGGTGACAAGTGAGTGGGCCCTGGGCCTTAAAACACTATTGTCTCGGCTTCATAATCTCAAGCATGTTAGGTAGGCATGATAGCCCGCCCATATCATGTTAATTTTCAGATAAGCTTACATCGGGTATCTGGCAGTGTTGGTGGGGATCAAAATGCGCATCCGAATGCGGGAATAAGTCATGACCGAACAACTCACGACAGCCAAGAGTCCTTACCTATGAATGAGTTCAGAAACGCTTTGTTCTATGATTCAAACTATATCGGCCGGAATGTCACAGTGACCTTGCAAAATTACGTCCACACACTGGACTGTAAGACCCTGGATGTCTCTATTCTGGCCTCATCCAAATCTCAGGAGTCTGCGTCCCATTCAAGCTTGACTTCCCTGCGGATTGCACTCGTTCACCGACCATACGATAACTACGGGCTTTGGAAAAGTGCCCAATCCCCCATATCACCATCCCGTCAAGTAGCTACTCTACTGAGACCCCATAAGAACCTGGAACACTTGTGTTTGGAGCTCCCAGATTCGGAATCTATCGGCTACATCTGTATTAACTACGAGTATGAGAGCTGCCGCGCCTTAGAGAATATCGCCCCTATAACGCCCCATCTCAAATCCCTAGCTCTGCATGGCGACTTTTCCGTCTCGGACCAAGCCTGGTCCCAGTGGAGTTTAATACCGTGGTCTCAGCTGGAGTCACTGAGCCTAGTTAGCACTTCTATAATAGAGAGGTTGGCGGAAAGACTCGCGGGCCAATCTCTCCCATCTCTTCAAACGCTCAAACTAGCCACTTATATGTATAAACCTAAACAACCCAATACATCAAGCCTGCCCCCCGGGAAAATCCCGTTTACTATCAGTGTGCCTCAGCTATCTCTAACCGGATACCAGTCGGCCGCGCTGATGGAATACCTCAGTCGCAGTGCACAGAATGCCACCAGCTTACGGAAGTTACGTTTCCATACGATAGAGCCCGGTGCGGGGCCGGGACTCTCGGTATCCGATATAGAACAACTCAGCATATGTACACGGCTGGCCTGGCTCGGCTTGGATATTCCCCGTGACCACCACCCCGACGACGACCACCCCACCCCTAGTAGTGGCTGGCCTGGGTACCTGGACGCTATCGCGAGGCTGCGACCGCTGCAACACCTCCGCACATTCATCCACAATGGCTACGGCGTAAAAGACGTACTCAATAAGCACGGCGTGATAAGAATGTTCCAGTACATCCAGTCCCGCAAGCACGGTTGCGCCCTCCAGAGCTTGGTCATCTGCGAGGATCACGGCGCACGGCGGGGACTGTGGGTCGTATGGGCCTGGAGCGAGGATAAAGTCGTGATCGATTATCGGTGGCCTGCTGTCCTTCGCGGGGGAGATATTTGGGACTCCAAGGTGGCTCGGTCTATTGAAATATGGGATACGAGAACCGTGGAGAAGGTGCAAGATTGTGCAACTCGATGGAAGTACTGGAAGGGATGGTGGCTTGACGAAACTGAGGATTTGTTCTGGGGTATATCCGAGGGGTGGTAAAGTCCCCCCTTATCGAACGCCATGAATAACTCGTGCACTAAAGGGTGAAGCCCCTTTTCACGTGCCGCTGTTAACCATTCCTTCATTTCGATTTCTCGTAGGGGCCCTCCAGCCATGTCTTGGAGATATTCCCTGAGTTCTGCGTGTGGAATCTTCAATGTGGAATCTTCAATTGACTGCAGTGGTTGACGAAGCGTGCAGACAAATTATGTTATGCTCGCTGTGCCGAATTGATATGACCCATGGTAGATCCAATGACCGACTCGGCTATATCCCTCGCCACATCCTCGGCCGTGACGAAGTCCCATTGTCCTGTAACATCCTTCTGCCCAATGCGTGGTAATGCCCGTAGTAGGGATTGGTAGGTCTTTAAGAGATATACATCGGCGCCATTGTGGATAATGGCATAAGCGTGTTCGATCAGCGACTTAAATTAGGAGTCTGAGAACCCAGGGCTAACGTCTGAGAGGTTACCGACATATTCGACGACCTTGTGACTTTTTACTACTCTTGAGTCTTGTATGAGACGTGACAGTAGATGCGTTCCGATAAATTCCGTAACGCCTGTTAAGACGACCACAAGGCCACTGCTTTCATTTAGGAGCCTCTTGTTGGGCGTTGGGGAAATCGGGCTAGACTGAGGAAGTCGATCAATCATGCTTGCAATTTCAAGATCCCAATTAACTGTCTGCTGTGTGCCTCGAGGCTGTAATAATGACCCCGTCGACGACAAGGCCGTTTTTTCAGCAGTTTCTGTCGCGTTTGCAATCAGCCTGGCCATATTGATTGACACCTGTATTCCGTACTATGCTTTCTATATCGTCACCATCCTCCAATGCTTTCTTTAATGTCTTTATAAACAATTTCTATGGTTATACGCTGCCGGGGCTCCATCGCTTCGGCTTCTCTAGCGCTGATGTTGAAAAAGTCATTGCCAAAGGCAAAGGAGTCCTCTTTAAGGAGGTAGGCTTTCGTCACGTTCGTTGTCTAAGTAGTATTCATAGGTGTTAGCTAGAGCCAAAATTCAAGAGGTGGGTGTACAGATGCCAGGATGCTCAGCATTTTCATGATAAAATCCAACAGAATTAAACCGGCTTTGCGGGATCCCCGTTACGAGATCAATAGGATTCTTCAAAAGTTCCCATAGCTTGCTCGGAGAATTGGAACCACCAGGAAATCGACAGCTGCTACCAATAATTGCAACCTGTTCTTCCATAGGGTTTTAACTCAGGTACTAAGTCATGATGTTATCTGGCGGAGGCAGATAACATCGTGACTCTTAACCGTGAGAGTTATTATATTATAATATTTATATTATACTTTTATTTAAATTAAAAGAAAACAATAATATAACAATAGATTTTTAAATACTAATATAAAATATTTAAAATATAAAAATACATATTATTTTTTAAATTTAAGTTGCTTTTTTTAATATATTAGGTACTTAGCTTTATGTTAATACTTATGTTTTAATTAACAGGATAATATTTTATATTTAAATAACATGAAATTCCCTTTCTTCACACTTTTACCTTTCTTTTTTCACATCCTTTCTTTCACAACTAGCATAATCACATAAATCCTATACCTGTTTCCTACATTGCAAAATAACCAACATGGCTCAGGCTCCCGAGAATCAAGGAAAACCTCTCAAATACACAGTTTCCCATTACCGCAAGCCGGAACACACTCACGAAGCTTTCATAAAATGGATGGTTGAAGAACATCTCCCAATTGCCATACCTATCTTCAAGAGGCACGGTGTCCTTGGTTATTCGCTCGTAGGTGCTCCTTACTCGTGCATGCCTTGAGCTTCCTGTAGCGCTTACACCTGATGCCTACTTCGTGACACCGGCTGTTCTCAATGAGGCTGTCAAGCAAGAAGTTGGAAAGTTCCGACCTACTTGGGACTTCGCCGACTTTGACTGCTTCATTGAGTACACAATCCCTGACGTGCAAACCATCAAGAATGTCACGTCGGATCCAGAGTGGCCAGTAGCAGTCAAGGACCAGGATGATTGGGTTGATTCCACGAAGGCGTTGGTTTCTCTAGGATATTCGACTCCATACTTGTTGGAGACTGGCGAAGTTGTAAACATGCCGAAGTAACCGAGGCTTGAATATGCAGAAGCCTCCAGGAAGTAGTACAAGCTGTAGGACGTTGTAGGACAATCTCGGGACTGGTCTTATCAGATATTTTTAGACGCTCGTTTACCTACCTAGGTACCTAGTAGTTAGCTCATCAGCAGAACAAAGCACTTCTATATTGTGGCATAATATTTTTTGTGTTACGTTTTACCATACAGGGGGAATAATTGGTGCCAACCAACAATCTTACAGCCGTAAAACTAATATTTTGAGTTGCTTTGCTTTATCTTTCCGCCCCCACCCCCATTTCACTTATGCCGTCCAACATACTGTCGATAATTGCTCACATGGCATAGTGATTTAACGCCTGGATGTGTGTTGGTCCGTGTTTACATATCGTAACATAAATAGGTTCAAATCCTATTATAGTTTAACCAAAAACGGTCCAACTCAGGTTTTTTTTTTTACCTTAGGCACTACCGGACGTTGAGGGTGGTTCCATTTTCGTTATAAGAAGGCATATTCGACGGGTTTTCCCTTGGTTAAAGTCGACTACTTGGTATTGGCGCTAGCTAAGTAAGGGGCTGGGGATGTTTATAAATAGGAAGCGGGGGATCTCTTATGTTAAGAGGAACTCTAGCTTTATTTAATTTTAAAGAAAGTACTTTAAACGTTTTAATAGCGCTATTAATACGCTTGTTGTAGCTACTTAGCTATAGCTTTAATATGATGATGAGAACGTTAACGTCTATTGGTGGCTATAAGCTAGGTAGCTACAGCAGGCGCATCTATGGCGCTCTAGACGTCTAGAGTACCTCTTTCAAAGGGAGACAGAGCTAGAGTTTCGCTTGACATAAAAGATCTTCTATTTCCTATCCCTAGCCCCAACCTGCCTATAACATTACTCTACCTGGTTAGCGCCGGCGCTAGATAGCCAACTTTTTATTAGGGGAAAAACTGTTAAACACGCCTTTTTATAACGGAGATGGAATTACTTTCAGCGCCCGGTAGTGCCTAAGGAAAAACCTGAGTTGGACCGTTTTTGGTTTGACCATAGTGGGATTCGAACCCACTTGCGTTGCGGCCCGTGGGCACGGACCAACACACTATAGCTTTAATAGACGTAAACGTTATCATCATCATCATCCCTATCCTAAAAATGGCACAACGTTGCGGCAGCCTTATTGTGATAGTATTTACTTACAGCTATCTGTACAGGCAGGAGTCGGAGAGAAGACAACCTATTTCTAAATGTCGGCTACGAATTGGATAAAAGAAATGAGCTCCCTTGCTTAGGTAGGTAGTATGACTATTTGTCCTACACAACATTGTATCACACTGTGCATATATTAATTATCGGATACTACCGCGTACCATTTACCAGTTATCTTAAGTAAATAAGGCACCTACACCTATCCCAGGGAAGGTTCTTCCACCATGTTGCTTAGGTACCTAGGTATTAACAAATACATGTCTACTCGGTCTTAAGAGATTTATTTATTTGTCCATTCGGCCCACAATCTTTAACCCGTCCAAAGGTAACCTACCTAAGCTACTAGCAACCTCGAACTTTCCTAGCATCATTTACCATGGACAACACGAGTCTTTCGACAATACTGCCTTTTATCCCAGTCATATCAACTACTTGCTCTTTGTGGTTTGCTTGGGACCAGTACGAGTTCCTCACCCTATTCCGTAAGCCGGACTTGCGATTATTAAGCAATCAACTATTGCCCTCCTACTTTACCACCTTTTTTAATCGCGGTGTCCCTAGAGTACTCGGCCTTCTCTCTGCCACTGTCTTTTCATGCGGCGCAATTTTGCGATACTCTCCTGGCACCATCCTTCGTGATAGAGGTGCACACCCCTGGTACACTGCAGGTAATAACCCTTGAAATTCTATATAAATTATCGAAGGAACAAGTTCAATAACACTTCAAAAGGCCTCCTCTTTGCCTTGGGGCATCTGATATGGGCCCCCTTCATTATCCCCCCTATCCGAGCTCTTCGGGGAGACGCGAAGGGGAAGAATGTCGCTGAGCTAGAGCGCTGGCTTTACATCCATGTGTGGCGGAGCCTTACCGTTGATCTAGCAGCTTGGGTTTGCTGTATTGTTGCCACCCACAAATTACTCTTTGAGTAAAGAGTTTATACGCCAGGAGGCGATAAGCTTTGTATAAGTGCATTCATGTTCAACAAGACTTTTGTCATTTGAAATTACCGATTTAAGTGAAGATTAAACCAAAATCTTTTAAAAGCTTTCTACTTTGCCATACAAATAAAATAGCACGATACTTATTAACTGTTTCAAGTAACATCTCCATTGAATGACACTCAAGATCTTAGTGACTTGTAATATTAAGGTAGGCCTTTTCTCCCCAAGCAACAACATGTCTTTTTCAACTTCACATAATTGCATCTGTTTTTTACTCGAATTCAAAGTCCAAACAACATTTTTAATAGGTCATTTATAAGTAAGTTCTTATCATATTTATCCCATATATTAGTACGAAATATACTACTCTCCTATATTTAAATCCATCGTGGGCCCCCAAACTTGTCAATAACTGCCGCTTGGTCTTGATTCCCTATCTAGAAGCGATCGCGTAGCAACTCATCTACTGCCAATTCTTTCCGCATAAAAAAGCCCAAATTACGTTCTTCGTCAAGAATATTCTCACCTGCGCGGGGGAAATTGGAAGAACCGTCCCAAATAGCTCGTACCTCATTCTTACCTCAATCACTTTTCATCGAGAATATCAACTCTCAATCACATGCTGTTGAGAGAACAGACGCTCGATCACCTTTCGTCGAAAGTATCGATTCCTAATTATCCCCTATTGAGAAGATTGATTATCAATTACTCTCTGTTAAGGAGTTAAAATCTAGGAGAGATCTGAGAATAGCTGCTTGGCTTGATACCGAAGACCTAGAATCACCACCTTCAGTCAAAACCTACTCAACATACACTGCCCCGGACTGTATCACAATAGCTTCTAAACCCTCGTCTAAGCGTAAGGCAGATGATTTGCCGGATGCGCATGCGCGGATGAGAGTTCTCGATAGTAATTAAATTAAAACACGAGATCGCTATATGTTATTTCCAGACTGGATTCGGAGGCACCTAGACGAAATTAATGCTTGTCCAATGGATGACATCCTTGACAATATAGTCGACACACATCAAGATGATTTGAACGCTGCTCTGAAGGGAACGTACGAAGCTTATCTGATGAATGAGCTTGTTATAGCCTTTAATATCAGACGTAATATTGGTTTGGGGTTGGGAGCGCGAAAGTTTCCGTCTTATCCCAACTCCCCCGCGGGTCGTATGACTTCTCAACACCTCAATACTTCTGTGGATCCAACGGCTCGCAATGATACTAGTCCCTCAAATACTAAAGATCCCAATAGTGGTGATGATGATAACGTTCATGTCTATTAGGCTAGAGATCCTAAAGGTCCTATAGAATCGAAGCTTGAATATGCTCTCAAGACCCTATATATAAGCCAGAATTGCCCCCCGGAAAAGGGGAACAACACATTGAGGGTCCCGAAACCCGACGTAGTTTTCGGATACGATGCTAACAAGTTTCCTGAGATACTCAAGTTGAAAGAAAATAAATATGCGCCAGAATAAGCGCTTAGCGACTGGTTTTCCTCGTTAGCGCAATGCCATACCTTGCAAATATCTCCATCATGTGGAGATGCGTAGACTCAAGTAACAAAGAGCCTGTTTATATCTCACAATTCTATACCAGCTTTGCTTTACTGGAGATCTACCAATTTAAAAAGTTTCGAACATTACTATTCCGTATACAATATTGGGCAGGGACGAATAAGCTAGAGCGAATCGAACAAGGCTTTCGAACGTGGAAAAATGATGGGTGTCCCCGAAACCCATACCAACCAGCAAAGCGCGAAGCATTATCTAAAGTCTTGCAAAATGTTGCGGTACAGTAAGCAATAACCTTCAATAAAACCAGAGGGCCATGCCAAAGTTCAGAAGTGCCCCAGTGATAGCAACGCTTCGTCTTGCGAGGCTGATAATCCGTCCCAAACCGTCTTCGTGCTGGACAATTCGAACGTCGTTGAAAGTATCTGCAAGTACCGAAAGCCATGGCGGGAGAAAAATGAGAAATTGCCAACAAAGCAGAAAAACCCTGTTAAGTTAAGGGGTTAAAACAAACAGTTCAAAAATAGACACGCAGAAGCGTAATCCCTTTCTTTCCCCTCTTTCCCCTCTTTCCTCCACCATCAATCACATTGTAAACATGCCGAAGCAATCGAGGCTTTAGCATGCGAAAGTCATCAGACAGGATATGGTTGGGCATTCGGTTGGTGTCATCAGATATTTTTAGACGTTCACCTACCTAGGTCCGTAATAGCTAGCTGATTAATGAAATAACCTTACGCTAGGGTTCTACTAGACTGAATCATTCTCATGCTTTGCTTCACTGCGGAAGTAAAATATCATACCCATCACTACTCCCAAACTTACGAACCCAATATTTGGAGCATCTTTCCAATGCAAAGATGACATGTAGGTCAAAGACAAACAAATGATAATATTTTGGCTGATACGTCAGATGCTTTAAACCATCAGATTATGCTACAGAAAATATCGCATTCTCATAAAAGTTCGTGTTTGTGGAATATTATATGATAATTGGAGACATCATCTTTCCCGGAATGGTTGAGCACATTCGTATAGGGGTTGGGATTGATAGGCAAGAACCAATTTGATGATACATACAGAAAACTATTAAGTGGTATACAACTCTACCTTATCTTCGCATTGGCTTATTACAAGCGGGATTCGTTACATTGGCTCCAAGGTAGAGATAAGTACTTTTATGTCGTCCCCGATATGAGATACTTGCAGCGTTAAGAAATGAAATAGACTAATTCAATTCAGAGATCTATTATACTACACAGGGTACAAGCTTCTCAACAGCCAGTTCAGAATAAATCTAAATCTAGAGGCAGTCTTTCTCCCATCCAAATAGCCCTCTGCGAATGATTTCGGCGCTCAGCCCCTTCGTCTTCCTCAACCGTGTTGGGATGGACCAACACCGACAATGGACCCCTATAAATAGCAAGCCAAGGGATGAAGGCGCCGAACTGGGCCGGCGAGAAAAGATTAACCTCAAACATCGCTATTGGATGAGGGCCTACCGGCTTATCCCAGAAGCGGTATATCCTTAGCTCAGGAACTGTGCACGAATGCTATTAGTGAACCCGCTAAAGCTCTTATCCTACGTTACGAGAGAGGGCACAGGGAAGGTGAGGGGAAGGATAAGTAGGTAGAAATCGTACACTCTCGTCGGATTCGCTCCCAGAGCTCCTTTGCATGCCGCGTCTGGCTTTCGCTGTTTTGAAAGTGGTAGATATGTACATCACTGAGGGGGTGTAGTCCCGCACCTGTTAGTTGATAGCAATTGTGGAGCTCATCGTCGGAAACTCACAAACCACCGCGACGACCGTTATCCAGCGGATCGGGGAACTCGAGATAGGTCTTGCTGAGGGTATCTCTCGCTGGATTCTTGTAGCTTTTGCCGTCCTCATTCTTCTCGTCCGGCAGCGGCGGGGCATTCTCGTACCCCTCGAGGGGAGAGACGTACGTATACCTCCCCGCCGAGTGGAACATCGCGCTGGAGTCCCAGTATGTATGCAGTTGGCGTTAATATAGGACTTAGGCTCTATGTATGTGATAATTTCAGAAGTGCATTTCATAGATTAAATCCGTCGTACGATGTTAGTTCTAGGAGCGTTAGCTTTTAAATTCACACAGCGCTACGAATGACGTGCTTCTCCCCCGCCCAACAGCATAACTTATTGATTCCGGGGGTGCCGGATGCGACTCCGATACTCCCGTGTCCACTTCTCCCCACTTAGTGCATGTGCCCTCAAAAACGGGAACCGCTCCGGATTGAGGATGTCCGACGCATCGGCCGTGATTCGCCGTGTGCCCGTGATATTTGTCCAAAAAATGCTAGAAAACGGGCTCGGTGGGATACTAAGCAATGCATTACTATGTTGTTATCTACCCTTTGTAAGTTACCTAGGTTAGTTCATTTCATAGCACATATCTCCAGCTACGTGTATCTAACCTAATGCATGACCTAATACTTGATGCAATCTTCGTTTTCATTTGTATCGGTCCCGAGTAAATGTTATCTACGCCGTGATCGTTGCTTACAAGTTATACTGTTAGAACTATTAGGTACCCGAGGGTACTTTATTGAAGAGGCGCGCCTGATAATCTCGTATTAACCTTAATAAGTAGATCTAGGCTAGATTATCTAGATTGTAGGCACATCCAGGGGTAATTGAACAAAAGAAAATCTAGCCTGTTGAGTTTCCGTGTGTCATGGAGTCGGTATAGCATCATAAGATTGTCAATGGTATCTAACCACCATAAACCATACACATTATCTGATTAGAGAGTAATGTTTCAGCCTGTATGTGCGACATCATCTGTGGCGATTAGGTTAAATAATAAAGAATGTAGGGATAGGATGTTGATCGGATGACAAAAGGAGAGATGCAACAACCTTCGTTTCACAAGACGCCCCCAACTAAGCATTCTCACGATCCTATTATACAGGGGGGTTTGGGCCGAGAAGTCTCTGGGAATTTGATGTTACGCCTGCGGGTGTCAGTGCCTAATTGATATAGAGCGTGATAGTTGAATACTGGGAGTGAGAATCCGTCATAGTATCAAAGATTGCCGCACATACACCCATTAAATGTACACTTATCTACCATTCTTATGCGTCAGTCCAACGTTTTCCTACCAAAGCCCACTAAGTTTACACAGCTACTACAAAGCAAATAACATGGGAATAATTATGAATAAACAACTAATAACAATACAATGCGTTTAAATTTAATATATGTATTTTGTTTCTTCAATTAACCTTCATTTGCTAGATTTCATGGTGAGGCTTGGTGGGGGGACTGACGCATAAGACTGAGAGGTGATTGTATGACTATGGATTGAGAGCGTACATAACATCATATTTAATTGATCTGGACTAAATGAATTTACTCCGTGTACAGCCTTACTACCAGATCATTCTTCTAAACAACTGTTGCTTCGTTTTCACGTCTCTGTGTGTCACGAGGTGGAACTAAACAGTAGGGAAACAACTTCGTTGTTCCGCGAGGAACTCTAATCTATCGGCGAGAGCTTGTGTCTATACATACTGAACATGTCCTTTGTTCTAGATGTCTCATCTAGAATCTTGACACTGTATAACTGGCTTGATAGCTAAGATATAAGTGGCTAAGGCTATCCACAACATGGTTCAAACATCATCGAGATGCTTACTGATGATGGGAGGTTCTTCATTGACTCTAGAACAACTCACTCAAGTATGGGTTAGGTAGTTGGGTATAAGACATAAGAGTGGAGAGTGTAACATATACCCCAACAAGTTCTTACCTAGAATCAAGATTATCTCTAGATACCACTATAGTAGTTGAACCTAAGAGGTTCCCACTCTATACTTAATACACAAGAGTCAACAAACTCATATCCCCTATATGGTAGTTTGAGAACTGTTTCTCCACCACTGGAACCATAGAGTTGCACATTTAGGTTATGAATCGAGAACGACCTTGCATAAAACTGAAGATATTCGTTACTACATCACAACTTCGTCTAATTACTACGCGAATACCCCTATTCAACCGTATATTGTTTTCCTATCGCCGAAGAAATTAACAATCGATACCCCGGAGTCTTTGAACCCTTTTCAGAACAATTTCCGAGGGCAAATAAAGCCGCCCAGGAGCTCTCCGAAATAAACCAACGCCACCCTAGTAGCTCCTTAACTCACAAGAGGCTCAAACATTAAAGATTGTTCTCGTTATCACATTACCTTAGCGTGGGTGGTTTTGATATGGATTAGGAATAGCTTGATGATTTGGATTCCCGGTTAGACATAACGGCCCGCTGGGTTTGTGTCATAGCGATCGAAATACAAGGCGGAATCGGTGGTACCAAACAAGATAAACTATTGTATCTATCCGTGCTCTAGTGCAGTCGCAATACGCAAATCACTTTGCCTGGGCAAAGCTAGGCTTTAGGCGCGTGCCATTTCTTAATTCGGAGGCAGCCGATAATCGTGTCTACGCCAGGAAACGACTACATACCTACATAGGTACACACATATGATATTCCCCTCGAGACCTTAATACGCTGTTATAGCCATGTGACGAGAAGTAAATGCGTAGAAATAGAGGAGATGAAGTTCATGGAATGTGGCAAGGAAATGCTATCAAACTACATTACTACATACTGCTAGACCATCTCTTGGAATATCATAAGCTTGGTTCGTTGACAGTACATAGGCATCTTCCGCTTGTCCAAGAGTATCCGGTAGTCCGGATTTGTGCACATGCCGGCCTAGATCTAGATCTCTTTTGACAGCTGCAACGTGTCTGCTTACGTTGCCATATAATGATACCTTTCAGATGAATGTCTCGGAAGAGACTAGGATAAAGTGAATCGTCGATGAACTGCTTGATGAAAGATATGATCCCCTGCCGAGAACAGATACTAAACATGCCGACTTATGACCGGTAACCGGTTTCCTATTGAGATCTATAGAACATATTCGTGAGGTAACTTCAATATTCGCCAACGAAGCTCACGAGGTTGTAAATATGATAGTTCTCCTACATTAGTAAGGAGGAGGCTGGCACAAAGTAGTATAGGTAGTAAGTCTTCTGCAACCACGGGTATGCAGCTGCTGGGGATATCTTTGGATATGGATACATATGCGGGATTGCAAGGACCCTAGGCGCGGTATCACTCGCATACATAGAATTATTGTAATCATACGATCTAAGATCTAGCCGAGTATTTGAACGTAGGGAACAGAGCCAATAGATTTGTCCCTGAGCCCTACCTGATTATACAGAACCCTACCTAACAGAACGGAACGAACCCCGACTTGCTACTAGTTTCGAATCAACTACGGGAAATATGAGACGAAATCTACAAGTTGTTGGGTAGAAGATTTCATACTCAGAAGGGTGTTGAAGTATTAGATATGTAGTTTTTCACCTGCTCGATATTGCAGGTGAAAGACTCCACCATGAATGTGGGTGAATGTGTGCCTTGCACAAGCATATGTATACCTGGTAAACCTGGTAGGCATATAGGTATGGATACACGTGGTATGAATGAATCATGGAAACTACCTAACCGTATGGAGTGCACTAGACACTGATTGCATATTTCAGGTAGCTATACGAGATCAAAGGCGACGCAGTGTGTCCGTGTCGGTAAGAAGACTCGTGAGAATTTTTGTAGTTCATACCGGAATATATCATCCGTGGCGACGTTGCATACATATGTATAGTGTATGTGCATGCAAAGGTGTATGCGGATGTATATGCAATGTTCCTACATGAAGCATCACGGAAGAAAACGGAGGAGAGATTCGATGTGGAAGTGGACATGTGGTTGTACCAAAGTATTATGAGTAAGAGATGTTGGTGGGAGTCAGCACGATTTACGAAAATACTTTTTTGTACGAAGCATCGGAGTAAGTGGAGCGGGCGGTGGACCCTATGAATCTTCAAGATCTTTGAAAAGGTACTCGATCTAACTACCTGATAAGCCACAATCCGCCACAAGTTTAAAAAATATATCGAGCTCTGGATGGTTCCGTCCCGCCGTCCTGCCGTCCTGCCGTCCTGCCGTCTTCCGTTAGGTACTTAAGGTATCCTAACTTAGCTTCTGTGGCACATGGCTGTCCTACCTAAAACCGTTAGGTTTCAGTGGAGTTATAGCGAGGCTGCAAACATTTAGGGCATCTGGTTGGGGGAAAGGGGGGGGAGGGGGGGAAATGCCGACCAATGGAAAAAACGATTGCTACGTTTTTATCCAATTATACGCAACTGTTTGCATCTAGAACCCTGTTCTCGTTATTTCCAAAAGCGCGAAAGCGAAGGTCATACGATATTTAAAATGTCAGCCTTGTGAATGGCCTGATCTTTATTCTTCTCACCCCACATGACGCATGATTCTAGACCCTCACCCTTGAAAAGATTCCCTTTATCGACAAAAAGTCAGGCCACCTTCTTGCCCTCCCGGTGCACCGACGACAATAATTTTCCTAATCTTCTTGTCGAGAGGACTGCAAAGACTGCAAAGACTGCAAAGACTGTGAAGACTGTAAGTAGGTACTTGTGACAAAATTTGCAACGTAGGCAAATCCCATAGCTCCCATTAGTTCCCATGGGTTTCCATACTTTTTTGACCGCTGCGGCCATCAGCCCACAATGTCGACAGAATGGTCTTCTGCCTTTCCCCTAGGTTCTCCCAAGTCCTCCGAGGTCCTCGTGGGCCCTTCATTTTCCGGTTTGCCGCTCCTAGCACTTCTAAGCATTTCTTAGCCATTAGTTACTAGGAATTATTCGGAGCTTCTTATTGGATTGCAAGTCACGATGGCGGTATATAACGGGCCTTACTAAGTTGCTGCCACGGCGACCTGCCGCCGAGCTGTACTTTTAATTATACGGGTACCGTCCAGTACCGCCCCAGTACCGCCCAGTACCGTACCCAAAGAAAAAGGGTAGTAATATATCGGGATCTCCCTTTGGGGTCCGGCTGGCCTGGGGAAATTTTATCTGAGCGTCTCCGTTGTTCTGCAGCGTCAGGCCATTAATTCTGGACTGTAACTTCGTACCCTTGCATCGTCGGGCGGTCTCGGCCATTGTACGCTTCATAGCTATGCTTCATACGCTTCAAACGGCAACCCTGGTCCAGTAAGACTTCGTGGGATCTAATTCTTATTCTTTAACGGCCGAATTCTCGAATTCCCATCTCATTTCATCCTGAT